AATTAATAATATATTTAGATTTATGGTTGAACGTAGTAAAATAATATCTTTAAAATATATTTTAAATATTATATTTATATTATTTGTATGGTTAATTTTTAATTTATTTATTTATTTGATATTGTAATATATTTTTAAGAAATTAATAATAAATTAGGAGGATAATAAAATTCTTTAAAATTATATGTATATAATATAAAATTATATTTTGATGTAAAATTATATTTTTGAAATGTATTTTTTTCTTATGTTTTTGTAATATTTTGTATGATATAATATTAAAATTGACTTTATAAAAAATTAGGAAAAAAACAATTAATTCAAAAATATAATAATGATAAAAATATTATAAAAAAGAGTTCAAAAATATATTATAATATTTTCAGTTTTAGTTTAATTATATTTTTAATTCTTAAAGTAGAAAAATATATTGTAATTAATATAATTTAATAAAATATAATTTAAATTTTTAAGACTAAAATTAAGAGATTAAATAAAATAAATTTAATTCTTTAAATTTAGTATTTAGAAACTAAAATTATAGTTTCTCTATTTTAAAAAATTAAAATAAATATTTAAAAATAAAAATAAAAACTAGTAATATCTTAAATTTATTAAAAGTATAATTAAATCTCTATTTTCTCATGTAATTTTAGAAAATTTTTAATGAAAATCCATTATATTAAAAACTTGTAATTTTAGAAAATTTTTAATGAAAATCCATTATTTAAAAGGTGCAACCTTAACTTGTATTAACTGTTTTTTTGAAAAAACTGACAAGAAAAACTTGGCTTTGAAAAAAAAAGTTAATAATTTTGAAGTTATTTAAGTGATGAAGTTTCCAAATGTGATCTATGAATTTATTGAGTAAAATTGGAGGTAGGTTGAATATAAATTTAAATATATTTTTAATTTATTTAAATATGGTTTATTTTTAGTATTTATAAAATAGATTAGTTTTAAATTTTTAACTTTTCTAGCCGTCTATTTTTAATCTTTGGTATTAATTATGTTAAAAATAAAAAAATATTAATTAGTATACTTAAACTAATGTATATTGATATAATTTTTTTTGTATATCAATTATATGAAAATAACAATGGTTAAGTAATTAATAATAATAAAGCAATAAATTTAAAAATTAGATTAAAAATAAAGTTTTATAAAATAAAATTGTAATAATTTGATTAATTTTTTTTAATTAATTAAATTAATGAGGAATTAAAATGTGATAATTTGATGTGTTTAATTTTTTTAATATAAATTTTTAAAATTTAATTTAATTTCAATTGAAAAATAAATTAAAGAATATTTATTATTAAACTTTTCTTAAACAATGTATTGAATAGTTAATATTACTCTAGTCTTAATTTATTACAATTTAAATTTTTAATAAATTTGATTTATTTTTAATAATATTTTTATTTTTGTAATTTAAAATTAAACTTAATCTTCATTTTGTTAATATTGAGACCAAAGTTTATTTTTAAAGTATATTTTAAAAATTAAATTATTTTTAAAAAATAAATTACTTTTAAAAAATAAATTGTAAAAAATATACTAAAACAATTAAAGTATATTTATAAAAAAATAAATTTAAATATAATAAAAAAATAATCTTAATTAGCGATCGATTTCAATTCGGTCACTATTTTAATTTGTAATTCGATCGCTAAATCGATCGTTAAATGATTTTTTTCTTTTAGTGTGGAATAGCCACCAATTTAGCGACCGAAATTTTGCGACGCAAACTATTCGTCGCTATTTCGGTCGGTAACTAAAAAATGTGAAGCCAAATTATATTTCGGTGGCTAAATGATTTTTTTTTATTTTAGTGTCGAATAGCCACCAATTTAGCGACCGAAATTTTGCGACGCAAACTATTCGTCGCTAACTAAAAAATGTGAAGCCAAATTATATTTCGGTGGCTAAATCGGTCGCAAAATTGTAACCGAATTAATTCGGTCGCTAAATCGGTTGCTAATAGCGACCAAATTAAATCGGTCGCTAAATCGGTTGCTAATTGCGATCGAATTAAATCGGTCGCTAATTGCGACCGAAAAAAAATTGGTCTCTAAATCGGTCGCTAATTTTGGTGCCTAAATGTGTTTTTTCTTGTAGTGTAAATAAGAAGGATTAAAAGTATATCTTTATTTTTTTCTTTTTTTTATATTCTCTTACTGACAATATTAATTGATTAGTATTAAATTATTTATATATTCTGAATCGTTATATTTTCAAATTTATTGTTCTTTTCTTTTTCTCCCTCTTCTTTTTTTTTCTCCCTCTTCATGTTCCATCATTGAAATTATATTGATTGACAAAAATAATTTTTTCTTCATCTTTTCACACTTGTTTATTTTATTATTGTTTGTTATTTTGATTTTTGTTGAGAAACATTTGTTATTTGAGAAAAATATTTTTATTTTTTATAAATTTTTATGATTCTATAATTAAAAAACTATTAATAGATTCATTTTTTTCTAGATATGAAGCATAAAATAATAAATTTATTTTTTTAAAGTGATAAAAGATATACTTGTAGAGATGAAAACCAAACAAATTCAACATCATTTCCTGTTTAAAAACATGATATTGATGATCCAATTATTCAATTAGAAACCATAGAATTAAAACCAATAAATTTAATATTAATTCTTTGGAGCGTGACCCACGAAGACGACTTCAGATATATGAATATAATCAAAGACGTAAAATTAGAAAAACTTATTTAAATTGGGGTCCATATCAAATACAACTTAAAAACTATCTTTTTTCTAAAGAGAAACATCATAGGAAATTTCAATATGGTTGGTTTAAAATGTTTTTTTCTTGGCTAGAGTATTCTCCAACTAGTGATGGAGCTTATTGTTTGTCATGTTATCTATTCAGTACACTGTCAGATGGTCGTCCTGGGATAGATGTATTTACTAGACAAAGATTTAGATCATGAAAAAAGGTTAATTTAGAAAAAAAAATTGTGTGTTTCTTAGCATGTATAGTGTACTAAATAATAACAATGCAATTAAAGTATGTACAAACTTATTCAATCAATCTAAGTACATTGACAACATTATAAATGTGCAAAATTTAGAAGAAGTTTGCAAAAATTGTTTACGGCTTAAAACTTCTATTGATACAATTCGTTAGCTAGCATTTCAAGCTTGTGTATTTAGAGGTCATGATGAAACTCCAGATTTAAGTAATAGAGGTAATTTTCTTGAGATTATTAAATTTTTAGCATAATACAACGATAAAGTAGCACAAGTTGTGTTAGGAAATGCTTCTTATAATTCAAAATATACTTCTCATCATATTCAAAAGAAAATTTTACAAATTTTTTCTAGAAAAATAAGAAATTATATTCGTGAAGAAATTGGTGGCTCAAAATTTTGTATAATTGTTGATGAAACTCATGATAAATCTAAAAGAGAACAAATGACTATTGTTTTTTAGATTTGTAGGTAAAATAGGTAATATTAAAAAACGTTTTTTTATATTGTTCATGTTAAGGATACTACAGCTGCTACTCTTAAAAGAGAATTATGTGTTGTTATAAGGAGCATTTTCTAACACAACTTGTACTACTTTATTATTGTATGATGCTAAAAGTTTAATCATCTCAAGAAAGTTACCTTTATTACTTGAATTTGGAGTTTCATCATGACTTCTAAATGCACAAGTTTGAAATGCTCGCTAACGAATTGTATCAATAGAAGGTTTAAGCGATAAACGATTTTTGTAAACTTCTTTTGAATTTTGCACATTTATAATGTTGTCAATATGGATTCAATAAGTTTGTACATACTTTCATTGCATTGTTATGTGGTGAACAAAGACTATCTCCAATGTGACTAAGAAACACACAATTTTATCATGAATTAACCTTTTTCTATTATCTAAATCCTTATCTAATAAACATATTTGCTCCAGGACGACCATATGACAGTGTACTAAATAGATGTCATAACAAGCAATAAGCTCCATCACTAGTTGGATAATACTTTAGCAAAAATGAAAACATTTTAAACCAACCATATTGAAATCTCCTATTATGTTTCTTTTCAGGAAAATGATAGTTTTTAAGTTGTATTTGATATGAACCCCAATTTAAATAAGCTCTTCTAATTTCATTTCATCTTTTTGATTCATAGGATATTCATATATCTGAAAGCGTTTTTCTGGGTCACACTCCAAAGAATTAATATTAAATTTATTGGTTTTAATTATATGAATCTTAGAAAGAGATTCTTCTAATTGAATAATTTGATAATCAATATCATGTTTGAAGCAGGAGAAGATATTAATTTATTTAGTTTTTATCTCTATAAGTATCTCTTTTATCATTTTTAAAAAATGATAATATTCTTTTATGCTTCATATCTAGAAAAAATGAATCTATTATTATTTTTCTTATTATAGAATCATAAAAATTTATAAAAAATAATAATATTTTTCTCAAACAACATATATTTTTTAACAAAAATCAAAATAACAAACAATAATAGAATAAGCAATATGAAAACAAATTACTTTTGTTAATCAATATAATTTCAATGATAAAATCTGAAGAGGAAGAAAGAGAAACAAACAATAAATTTAAAAGTATAAACTATTGAAATAATTTAATATTAATCAATCAATATTACCATTATTAACATTAGTAAAAAGGCGAAGAACTACTTTTAATTTTTTTAATTTAATATATTCTTTAAAAAATTAAAAAAATAATTAAATACTAATAAAATATTTCCAATAACAAAATAATATAGAAAATAAGAGAAAATGAAAAATTTAAATAATAAATTATTTTTAATCTTTTTTTATTTTTATTCTTTTTATATATTTAATATTAGAGACAAAGTCATACATTACAATAATTTCGGGTGACGACCCTTACCTACTGTGATGATCCGCCAACTGTGACGCACCTCTCGCAGTGATTATAACACTCATCTTGGTTGTTGTAACTTCTTCCAAAGACAGTTCCCATAACGTTATCAATCAGCGCTGCATCTTGGAGGTGTTTTCTTAGGCACACGAACCCGATTCTGGAATGCTCGTGAGCTATAGCACGCAACATGGAGGCGCAGTCTAGCAAGCGACCAGGCTCGTGGGCTAGAATGCGCCGCTGGAGAATAGGTGGTTGAGGCAACCCTCCGCAGCAAGCGGCAATACGCACCGTTTGGCGCAAACCCAATGGCGCGGTTGAACATGAGGCTCTTAGCGGACTGTTTAACGGGTCGGTCAGAGAAATGGGGTGAGTTCAAGATTTCACGTGCCACGTGAGCGTGTGAGGTTACAACTACTGGGGTTGACCCCAAACCGAAAGCCACGAGTTTTCTGGCGGATAGCGTATGTGAAAACGGCAATCCAGCTTGGTGTGGACTGGCCTTATGGGCTGAAGTTAAAAAATTTAATACAATATTCTAAAATGAGTTAAAAATTTTGGTTTAATATAATATTTTATATTTAATATAATTAATTTAAAGATCATATTTAATAATGTATTTAATAAATATATATAGATAAATTTTAGAGTTAAATTTTTATATTTTTAATAAATTAATTTTATTATTAAGATCATTTTTATATTATATTTTAAAAATATATTATATTTAAGAATATATTATCTTAAATTATTATTTTTTAAAATAGTATAATATAAAAGAATATATATATATATATATATATATATATATAACAAAATATATTATTAACTTAATTTATTATATATATATATATATATCTTTTTTTTTTAATAAAATAATAATATTATTATTTTATTAATTTTATTTATATTATAATTTTTTTTTGTCTAACACCTATTTTTCGGATGGTCCATTGAATTAAATTACATAATGGAATGAGGGTGAGGTAGGGCATGGTTTAAGCTAAATAAAAGGCCGAAGATGGAAGTCCTTCCGTTTCTCCATGCTATACCTCCTCTCTTGGGAAGGCCCATGCAAGAAGCCCAATGGAAAGAATTGCAGTAAGGATTGCCACCAAGAGTGAGTTGTTGTGAAGCAAGTGTTGTGTTCCTGCTAAGGCTGGAAGTGTAAACACCCACCAGCAAGCGTCTAATATATATATAATAGTATAAACATGAATAAGAAAAAAGTATTTGGTTTTAACGATCTGTGTAATATTGAAATAAACAATAGTTTTTAGATATTTAATCATTTTAAGCAAGTCATCAACATTTTTCATTTATCTTTATTTCGATCTTTTTCATTACGTTATATATTAGCTTTTGTATCAATACACCTTTTCTTTTCTAATTAGATATTTACGGGTATCTAAAAGTTATATTTTTCATTGGGATTTATTAGGTACACCAACATGTTCCCAATAATTCAAGTTCAAGAGTCCCGATAAGTACTGGTGTAAGAAGATTTATTTTAAAACTTTCATTCTAATTCGTTGGTCTTTCAGTACCTTAAGTAAATCACACGTCTTTTGCTAAATTAAGCTTTTATAGTTTGTTTCGTGTGGTAAAGAGGAAGTGAACAAATGAAATGTTTAAAATTTGAATATGGGATTTTTTTATTTTTTAAAAGTGAATTATTTTATCTTTTTATTTTAGTATATCTCCAATTAAATAAAAATATATATTATCTATAATGTAATTTTATTTTTAACTTCATTGAAAACTATACGTGACATTAAATATAATATTTTTATTTGACCTTTACATTGACCGCCACTGCGCCCTTGAACGTGGGATCATGAGGCACAGGTTTTTATTTTGGAGGCATGCATGCACGTGTGTTAGGGCGGGAAGCGAGGTTGCACACACGCGTGCTGGTGGCTCAATGCCTCGTCTCACGTGACTACGGGCTAATCAAGAATGTGTATGAGTTTAATAGGATTGATATTAAAATATTTATCTATTTTTGTGTTTGTGTGTAAAGATTGTGAAAATAAACCCTAACAGAATGTCAATATTACAACAAAGACAAAAGCTTAACAGATTATCAGTATCAATAATATGAAAAATATATAATAAATAAATGTCAGAAAAATATATAGTGACTCACAAATCACCTTACAAGAACTAAACTATATAACATTATTAAATTAATGAGAGAATAATATATATATATATATATATATATATATATATATAAAATTTATGCTAATTATATTTTCATAATAATTTTAAATTTATTTTTGTTTTAATTATTAATAATTTCAAGTCATTGAAAAATGGAGAATCCGGTTATAGAATAAGAACAGAAGAAGCTTGTTAATGTAGCATTAGTCCATATGAATGTTTTACTGGCAATTTTCATAATTACATAATTAATTAATTAACTAATTAATTGTTTTTTAATATATTTTTTTTCATTTATCTAATTGTATTCTTATTTTGTAGAAAAAGTTATCCGATATAAATTGAATTTTCTGATTTTTGTTGTGAAAAAATTATGCTGATTTTTTACATTGATTTCGTCATATTAATGCGAACTTTATTTTCATTTATTTTTTTTCAAATTGTTTTATTTTTTATTACTTTTTTTTCAAATTTGTCTTTCACAAAAGCATGTTTGTGGAAATTAAGATTATAAATTCTTATGCAATACTAAGCACGAAACTTCTTACATTCAGTTTTTGTTCAACACAAGCTTTAAATTACATGGACTTGCTTTCAACTTTTCATACAAATTTCATACTGATATGGGAATCGCAGATAGTGGAGAAAGCTTCTTCAACGTTATGCCATAGTGCTCACTCATGTCAAGGGTCTGAGAAGTGACACCCTCAGGAAGCTCCCACTCGAAAGAGTGCAGAAACACAGCCAACATTAAAGTAATCATTCGATTCGCAAGTGGCAAGCCAGGGCAAATTCTCCTACCACCACCAAATGGCAAATACTCGAAATCCCTGCCTTTGAAATCTATGTTGGACCTCAGAAACCTTTCGGGCTGAAACAACAATGGTTCATCCCAAAACTGGGGGTTCCTCCCAATGGACCATGCATTGATCAGAACTTGGTTTCCTTTGTGAATGGTGTACCCACTTACTTCAACATCGTGCCCTGCTACATAGGGCAAGAGAAGGGGTACAGGTGGATGAAGGCGAAGGGTTTCTTTCACTATTGCTTGGATGTATGGAAGTTTAGGGATGTCTGATTCTGTTACTTCAACATTGGAGGAGCCAATCACTTGGATCAGTTCCTCTCTTGCTTTCTGCATTACTTTTGGGTTCCGTAGAAGCTCTGCCATTGCCCATTCTGAGGTTGATCCTGAAGTGTCACTCCCCGCAATGAACAAATCCTGTTTGCAAGAACCAATATACTCACTCAATTAACGTTCAAGGAAAACATTCACTGTTTTAAGATTTTACTTGCACTGCATTCTGAATCAACCATGCATATGGGAAATTATATGTTGGAAATCATAAAAAAAATAAACACACACACACACACACACACACATTATTCTAATGAAACTATACTTTTGATTTTTTTTTAATCAGTACTTTTTTTAATTTGTTAGGTTAGCTTTCTTAATCCTTTCACGCAACCATAATCACCTTTGCTGAAAATAACATTACGTACGCAAACCAAACTTCAAAGTTTTGTTGAATCAAACTTTAAATTCTCCGCATCTCATATATGTTGTTTAATGTTAAAGTACAGGTGCTTACACTCTTTTAGTCCTTTCCCAACTTTACAAGTTTGTTAGGTTCACTTCTACACACATTACAAAAAAGAGGATGAAGACAATTCTCTACTGGTTGCCCGTGAAATACACATTCAATTATTTGAATAATGACGTAAAGAGTACTATTATTATTTCGTAAAATTTGCTATTTAAAATTATTTTTTGCATATTTAACATCCAAAATTTGAAAAATATATTATCAATATGTTAAGTTTCTGCTGATCTGTTATAAAAAATAAATGAAAACAAGATATAAAGTAAATTTTGTTATAATAAAATGACATCACTTTTAATATTGATGATAAAAGGATGTTGTTAGTTCTTTTAACGGTTTTTTTTTTCTTTAATATGTCGTTGTTCTATTATGAATTTAAATTATTAAATTCATGAAATAACAATCGTTGTTAGTAAAATATACAAATGAACTTTGTATTTAGAGAAAAAAAATGTAAAGACACGTTGAAGATGGAAACAGTTCGGTGAAAAATATAAATACACGATATAATGAAAAAAAAAAAACTATTGATGAGATATTCGTATATCCGTACTTTTTAGTTAATGAATATGTGTTAAAATGGAAGTTAACAAAATTGATTTAAAAAAAATTGAAATAATTTCCTCTAAAAAAATTAATATAAGAGTTATTATAAATAATTTTTATTAAAAAAAATGTTTCAAATTAAAATCAATTCTCAACCATCATTTTTTGAAGTGATATTTCAACCATATGCTATACAACGATTAGGGAAACCGTGTTACCAGAATCAACGGCTTGATGGTTTCGACGGTGAAATCGGATGGATCCCCTTGTTCACACTGATCAAGCAGCACATCCAAGAAATCCCCCTTGGCGGCACGCGTACTCTGTCTCTCCGCAACACGTTGCCGAATCAGGTGGTCGAAAATCTTATGCAACCTCACGTAGGAAACCGCCACGTGTCGCCTCACGCCCTGCAAGTCCATCGGCTTCAGCAAAGGAAAGTAGTCGGAGAGGTTAATCCTCCCGGCATCCTCCATGATCCTCCACACCAGCTCCTTGAACTCCCCTGCACTCTTGAACTCCGAGTCCACCAAATCCTCCGAGAACACCGTGTTCGAAATCAGGTTCAACATCGTCGCGAATGCAAGTTCTCCAATTTCAACGCTTTTTCCTTTCGAAGCTTGCTTGCGAAGGTGATGAACCAGTTCCTGCACTTTGCGGTGCCGGAGGTGTTGTAGCAGGTCCAGGCGTTGGGCGGTGAAGATTCGAGTGGTGCAGACGCGGCGGCGGTTGCGCCACCGTGGGTCGGCGGGGGCCCAGGCTATGGTGTCGCCCACGTTGGGCTGGGCAGCCACGGATTCTGGGATGGGGCGGTTGGCGAAGGCTTGGTCGTTCCTTTGGAGGATTTCTTGGGCCACGGCTGGGGAAGAGGCTACGGCAACGTTGACCAAGCCTAGACGGAGGGACATGATTGGGCCGTAGGTTTGGGCCATAGTGGAGAGTGCGCAGTGTGGCTTGGGGCCCAGTTGGTGGAGGTTACCGATTATGGGGAGGCCGGTTGGACCGGGGGGTTGATTTTTCGTAACACGACGTTTGAGAATGAACCGGGTGGTGACGAGGAACAGTGTGAGTAGTAAAAGGAAGATGTGAAGGTCCATGATGATATTTGTTGGGTTTTTTCTTGAGATAAGACTAAAACCGACTCCTTCATATAAAGAGGTCTATGTTGTGGCCGGTGTAGCTACTGTTCTTCTATTAAAATAAATATCTATTTTAAAAGTACAATAAATTTAATTATTATCTAGAATAATATATGAAAGTAAGCGTAATTTTTCTAAAAATAAATTAATGAATATAATGAGAAGGAGGAAATAGAAAAGTTTATATTACAAAGTGAATGACAAAATGTTGTTTAATACAATTGAGTTAAGGAGGTACCAAGTTGATGAAAGTCATACAAAAGAACTATCGTTAATTGTGAAATTAACTTGGAAGGTTTAAAACATTATTACGTTCCCGATAAAATTAGTATAATTGATTGAAAGAATACTATACTCTTAGTTATAAAATATGAATTTAATAGGAAACAATGAAATGAACTCAATATTTAAAGTTTTAATGTAGTTATTATTTTTAGTATATAACATTTAATTGAGAAATAACAAGAACTCACCCAAGATCGATTATGATTTCGTGTAATTTTAAAGGAATGTTCTAACAATTTACGTTAAATTAAATATTATATATTGTTTTTAGGGTTTATTTTAGTATTATCATGATTTGGGTTAAAGTTAGAAGCAACTTTTCAATCTAACTGAAAATGATGTATTCCTAACTTTGCATATAAAAATTTAAAAATTGAATCGACACGATTTATTATTGTATTATTTAGGGAGAAGAGTTGAAGATGGATAACCTGCTTCATCTTCACCACCTTCCCGAATGTTCCAGGTGTATGATCATGCGTTACAAATAATGATATAAAAATTAGTAGTTATATATATTATAAATATAGCTTAAGTTTTTGCATACGCACTCCATGTCAAAGGAAAATATTCAAGATACTGTATTCGAAGCCATCACTGGTGTTACCACAGTGAAGTCAATGTTATTCTGTTCATTCACCAAATGAAACAAGGATTAGTTAGTCAAGTTATCACTGGTGTTACCACAGTTAAGGCAATTTTATTCTGTTCATTCACCAATTACCATCGTCTAAAGAGATGAAATTCAATAATTAGAATGGTTACAGAATCTACAAGACCCGTTACAGAAATGAACAGCTCACAAATGCAAATACAATGTGGAATGGATTATTAAATTGGAATGCACAACAGAAAAAGGATCACACTTCAGCAGGGTAAAGAATAGAAACAGTTGAGTGTTGTTTACTCCTGAATCTGAACAGGCTCAAAACCCTTCTGAATGGAAGCCTTCACAGCATCCAAAACCAGTTGGGTTTTCCTACTAATTATTGGCCACTTCTTGTCAGGCTTAGAGTTTTTGAATTTGATATCTGCCACCAAGCGGGCAAATTCTCTGACCAAAAGTGCCTCCTGAGGGAGATCAGTCTTTATTGTATGCTTGCTTGGCTGTTTCGCCCACCCTGTGACAAGATCATCAAAGCTGGTTTGTGTACCAGCAAGAAATGATGCTTCCTTCTCATGATAAGGGATGATAAAGTCATGCACATGTAGAGTTCCTCTTGTCCCAATAGCTGTTATGTCCATTGTTAAGTTTGCCAAGAAAGAGCAGTGGAAGGTTGCTACTTTCCCATCTTCCCAGTATAGAGAAGCTCCGCAGTCTAATATCACCCCATCTTTGTTGAGCACAGGTTCATATGAAGCAACCACTGTTTTAGGCAATTCATAGTTGGCAGCCAACAGGATTGCTCTAATACAATACCATCCATGATCACCCAGAGAACCAAGAGCATCAAGATCAGGCTTTACACGAATGTTGCTGTTCAGATAATCAGGATCGGCTGCACTTGTAAAGCAGGTGCGAACCTGTATAACTCAGAACACAACACTACTCATCAATCTATGAAAACATACATACCCTCCCCCGAAAATAGGTTAAACAATGGGAAATAACTCAACATTCTAACATGGCCATTCTCAGGAATGAATTCAGCATCTTTTAGAAAGATGTAGCATTTTGTTATGGTCCCTTTTATTAGGCAAACTTGAAATTTGTCTTGGTCTGAACAACATAGAAAGTAACTAAGGATATATGTTTCATGAAATACTCTTTAAAAGTGAACAAAAGCAGTTGCATTGCAATGCAAGACTATTATGCAAATAATAAGTAGCGGAACGGAGTGAATACCGATTTGAGGTTACCAAAACGCTGCGCATCGTTGAGGAAGTTGGCCATGGCCGCAGTCCTGGGATTATGGACCCACATTGTGTTGTCCATGAACTGCACCCCACTCGATTCGCAGGCCTCCAGAATGCGGTCGAATTGGGTCACGTCGAGGGCCACGGGCTTTTCCAGCAGCAAGTGCTTCTTGTTCTGGGCCGCTAGCACGGCCCATTTCAGATGGAGACTCGTGGGGAGTGGCATGTACACGGCGTCCACCTCAGGATCCTCCAGAAGGGCCTCGTACGATCCGTACACTTTCGCCGACAGAGGGAACCCGTTGGCGGCGGCGAATGCGGCGGCCTTGTCGTGGGAGCGGCTGGAGATAGCACAGAGAGCGGCGTTGGGGGCCAGATTGATGGCGCGGGAGAGTTTCCGCCATCTTTGGTCAATGTCCGTTGAAGAGATGAGTGATGTAAGATAAAGAAAAAAAGTGAGACTCTGAGTTGTAATAAGATATTAGTGAGCAGATTTAAAATGTGTGGGGTTTCATTATTATTGTCTTCAACAAATAAAAAACATCATAAGCAAACAGTACACTATAAAAAAACATACTTTACTGTTCATTTTTAAAGTTACGCACAAGAGCACACCAGAGAAAAAACATGCTTTAAAAAACGAATCTTTCAGAAAGAAGATGACACGAAAGTGCGAGAAGAACATAACCTTCTGATTCATAGAAGAAGAATATGTCTAGAAAGGAAGAAAGATAACTGAAAGACTAGTTGGTCATTCCCAGAATGAACCAAAATATTGGAAAGTTCAATTCTGTGTAACGCATATAAAAACACATACAACCTCGATATTCATATATATAATATGAATAGAGAAGTGGAAAATGATTATTCATTGTTCAGTAACTGAATAGACACTTAACCGTCTGAACAATCAATTCATCGAAGCAATTTAGTAGAAGAGAAGAGAAGAGACGGAGATAATAAGAAAGAGATAAAGACATTTGAATAGAGATGAGGTTGGAAGAAAGAGAACCTATTTAGTTTCACTTTTATTTTAACAGTAAGTCGTTTTAGTAAGTTGGGGATTTAAATTGAAGATATTTTTGGATTTATAATTGACCATAGATCCCTTTCTTTCGCTTAAACCTTTTACAATTTTATTTAATAATAATAATAATAATAATAAAAGAATTTATTTATTTTAATATTAAAAATCTATTCTTAACTTTTATCATTCATTCTCTAATAATATAATGATAAAAAATAATAAATTATTTTAATTATTATATTACAAGAAAATATATAATAAAAAATAAAAATGATTTTAATTCTTATTTTTTAAATAAATAGAAATTCCTTTAGGAATAATAAATATCAAATTTAAAGTTTGTATTATTTATTATTATTATTATTATTATTATTATATTAAAATAAATTGTTACATAGATGTTTAAATTAAAAAAATGTGAAGATATGATTTTTCTTTATAATTTAGGTAGTTTTTATGTTAATTAAAAGTTATAAATTGAATTTTATTAACTATTTTCTTTAATAAAAAATTTAAACATAAATACATAATTTCAAAATCAATTTTACCGAAGTAATTTTATCAATATTCATCCAAGCACATAGAGAAAACATATTCTCCATTTGAAAAGCAATTAAGAAGTAATTTATGTAAAATAGTTTCTCGAAGTGTTAACATTCTCTCCCGGAAATTAGTATTTAAATACGAGTAAATTATATATATATATATATATATATATATATATATATATATATATATATATATATATTTCAAAATGTTACTTATTTTCTACATATTTTATTATAAAAAAATAATTTTAATTTGTAAAAATATATTTTTTATAATTTTTATAAAAAATTTATAAAAATATTCCATGAAACATGAGAATTTCTAATAATATTTGTTGTATATATTTACGTTTTACCTAATAATAAATTATTATTATATATATATATATATTATTGGTAAATTTATAAATATATTATAAAAATGAGTTGAAAAAAATATTGAAGTTAAAAATATAAATTGATGTTGAAATATTAAAAATTGAGATAAATATTAAAAGATCAAAGAGGTGAATATCTAGATTGATAATAAAAATCGACATTGAAAAGATAAAAATTCGAGAAGATAAAAATTTGATATCGAGATGTTAAAGATAAAAAAAGATGAAAATCGAGTTTGATGATAAAAGTAGAAATCTATAAGAAAAAATTTGAAATTAAGATAGTAAAGATCGAAAGGGTCGAGATTAAGATAGTAAAATATCGAGATTAATATGTTAAAGATAAAAATGTGAAAATTAATATTTAAATTGTAAGAGATCAAAAAGGTAATCAAGATTGAGATAGTAAAAAATTGAAATCGATATTAAAAGGGCAAAAATCAAGATCGAATATTGAGAATCGAGAATGATAACGAAATTAATAATAAAAGTAATAGAAGAGTCAATCGAGAAATATATAAAAAATTGAAATAAAAAAAATAAGTGGTCGAGATGTACAAATTAATAAATTAAATAATTAAAATTTTATAATAATCAAAAGAGTAATCAAGACAAAAACTAAGTGGTCAAGGGGTATCACAAAAATAAGAGGATTGAAGATTTGTAGGAAAATTAAAAAAGAGGCAAAATAATAATTGAAAAATAGAAGGATTATCATAGGATGAGAAATTGAGAAACATATTGACAAAAGCAGATAATGTTTTCAAATATAAATTGAGGACTTAGAAATCAAGAAAGAATCATTGAAATATCAAAAAAGACGTACCGAAATGTATGGACTTAAAAAAATCGAGAAAGACAAGATATTTATCAAGAAAGACAAAAGATCAAGAACAGTAAAAAGACAAAATCAAGAGCAGTAGACAAAAAATAAGGATGAGTTATACAATTGAGATCTATATATTCTAACCCACAAAGTGACATAAATAATGCTACATGACAATGGAACTGGTCAAGAAAGGAGAAAAACCATTTATTTGATTATATTCTAACCCACAAAGTGACATAAATAATGCTACATGACAATGGAACTGGTCAAGAAAGGAGAAAAACCATTTATTTGATTGTAGGAAAATGTTTTTATTTTTTTATATTTCCTTTTATTCTCATAGCGATTACACACAATAAAATATAAATAAAATTAAATAAATATAATTAAGAGTAATAAATAGTTGGAAAATACTTACATACGAAAAGACCCATAATCAAGTAAATATTATTTCAATGAAATTCTTGACAATTTTGATTATCAATTTTATTATATTTCTTTATCAGTTTATTTTTTTTATCATTGATAAATTAGATTCATTTTTACAGTAATTTACTTTTTTCACGCAATAATAAATTAGATTCACTTTTTTTAACCATTTACTTTTCTTGCATTTTAAAGTTTCACTAATATTAAAAAATTAAAATTTATAATTAAGAACTAAGTGATTATACTCAAAGTTTAATTGAAAATTAAAAAATAGTTACTTATTAATTTAATAAAATATATAAACTAATTTATCTAAAAATATTAATTTCATTTTGAAGATAAACCAATTCATCTTGATTTCATCTTTAAAAAAATTGCAGGAAATGTGAAATTAAAAAAATATAATAAGTTTATAATAATTATTTTAGCTGTTATATCAATCATTTTTTTTATTAATACTAATATTTTAAAAATTTATTCTTACTGCTCGTACAAGTTAAACTCGTCTAATATTAGTAGATCTCTTGTTTTGAAATCTACAATACTCTATGATTTAGTCTTATCGAAACTTGTTAGTAAATGAATTTTATTTACATTTGTAAAATTAATTTTAGTTTTATTTCAACAAAACATAAAACTTTTTTCAAGGGTAAATTGAGTAAAAATAAAGCATTATAGATGAATACGTGGCTTAAAGAATGAGAAATATAAATTAGTGGATTTTCTTTTAGTACGTTCCAACGAGACACAATGGCAACGCAATCTTATCTTCCGAGTCTGAACACTTTTCATGGTCGTGCGGGAATAAGAGGTAACTATTCAACTTTCGGATGTTTTTCATTCTATTGAAGCCCGCTTCACACTGTTTGTTGTTTCGATTCTCCCATTTGTAGGACGCCAATGCAAACCTTCAATATTCAAACCAAACAATTTTGGCTTTGGCGTCTGGGTAAGCATTACCATTGGCTAAGTTTGGCATACCCATTTGAGATTTGTCTGAGTTTGTTATTTCAATTCATGGTCATATTTCCTTTTCTGTCTAGAATTTGGAAATGATTTAATGATTTTGATGGCTATGATGAAGAGGAAATGCAATGTGTGAAAGAGCTAGCTTGGAGCTCTTAGATTACTGTTACCGTTTTTATTTACTTGACATCTGCTAACTTCAATCGTTATGAATAAGAAAACGCAGGCGTGCCCGGCATTTGAGGGGTGTAGTTGAACATGCTTAACAGTGGTTTTCTATCATCTGAACAATTGTGAATAAATAAATTAGGAGTTCTTCTATATGTCTCTTATTATTGCAAGAGCTGCTTCATCCCCTATGCTATACTATACCAAAACATGACACTGGCATAAACTAAAAAATAAAAGATCCAACAATCAGTGTAGCCAAAATAATTGGAAGGAAAAAAGGCTTTTACATTGATGCTTATGTGGCTCCCCGAGATCGAAGCTCTGTTGAGTTTCGAGGTATTTAGGATTTCAGTTTACCGTTGCTATCTGAGGTCAATAAATTAAATTGAAAGCTGCTTGTATATCCCTTTGAAATGTTGAATTTATTGTGCACAAATATATTATATTGTGACGGGATATAAGATTAGTTTGGTGGTGATAGTAGAAGGAAAAGAAGGATAGGTTGTGGGTTCAAGAGGTTTTTCTGCATAGTTACCAAATAAATAAAATAATGTTTAGCTTCAATCGAAGACTAGATTCTAGAATGAGTAGAAGCCCTTCTTTAGTTGGTATATTGAAGTGCGAGCACATGAAACAAGGAGAGGGATAGGTAGTTTAGGGTAGGATAAACCTACGCCATCTTCATCGCCTTGTACTATTGGAGAGCGGGCTGTTCCAATTGTGCTACAAATAAGGGATACAAACTGATGCAATATGAATTTGTGGTGTTAGCAAAGCTCTTTTAAGATGGATTTGTGGTGCAATATAAATGAGACAGATTGATTTATCTAGGAATGGTAGAAAAAAATAAGGAAAGATAATATTTGATTTGGATATCCCGTAGATAGTGTTTCAGGAGAATATAGCATGTTTAGAACAAATATGGTTCAAATGGCCGAAATACTCTACTCCTTAGAATTCATTTATTCTATTAGTACTAATTTCGGATCCTGGTGACAAATATGATTGTTTTAAATGATATCAAAAGTGGATGAAATTGAGTTGTAAATCTATATTGTATGTTTTACTTGAAATTGGTGAGAACTATTGGAAAAAACTCAAATTCCCACAGTGACTAGACAGTACCAAAATACAAGATATAAAGAGGTAATGCTCACTTTGTAAGTCAGTTTTATATCGAATTAGGGCATACCACTTTATAAGAAGAACAAAGAAGATGAGGCATGTGATAGGATATTGGCATTTCAGTTATGATAGATTGATTTTGCATATCGAGGTGCTGATTGGTTTAGCAACAAATAGTCATGGAGCCAGGGTTCTTCACTTATTATTGATATATTTTGAAGAGTTGGGAAAGAAGCATTGAAAAAGGACAAGAGTTGAATGTGTCTAAACGTTGCAATGATCCTTTTCCCATTGAAACACCTGTATTTTGTTCCACGATGCAAAATATCATGTTATGTCAGCCTAATTTGACATTTTTATTGTTGCAGAAAACTTCAAAGTATCCCATTAAGAGAAATGGCTATCCTCAAGTCGTGGAATGTTGCTCCCATTACACAGAAGTTGGAGAATATAAAGGCACAGCAATATCAGTATTATTGGATGCAGCTACCACGCAGTTATCTCTTTATTCAGATCGACACTTGAATACTCTCAAGCTGAGCATACCCGAAACATCACATGTTCCCAAAGATCTGATGACAAGATTGGTTCTTGCCGATCTGGACCCTGGAACTGCAAAGTTGGCCATTGGGTTCCTAGGTCCCTTCCTCTCAGTGTTTGGTTTTCTCTTTATCTTGAGAATAGTGATGTCTTGGTACCCAAAACTCCCAGTGGGAAAATTTCCATATGTAATAGCCTATGCTCCCACTGAGCCACTTCTCATTCCTACCCGCAAAGTCATTCCTCCTCTTGCTGGTGTGGACGTTACTCCTGTGGTGTGGTTTGGATTGATCAGTTTTCTTAACGAAATATTTGTAGGGCCACAAGGATTATTAGTTCTCCTTTCCCAACAAGTCAATTAGCTTACGCACTTGGAGTTTGTGAATGACGCAGTTTCTAATTTCTACTACATCTTGTTGGAGGACATGTAAACAAAAATAGTTACATCGGTATATTACATATGCTTTATCAAAGGAGAAAAAAGTTGTGGGAAAAAGATACACTTGATAGGGCAATCAAGGATCTTCAAATAAACGAACTTGGTTTGTCATCCTACTAGTATAAAGAATAATGTCACGCTCTGTGATCTTATGGAAGTATAATTAAGCTTATTTCATTGTCACGAGGAATAAACGCATTTGATCATTGATTAATGCCTTCAATTTGATTTGTTTTCTTCTGCACGGAAAAGTGGGATAACATTCCTTTCGAGTAAAATATTGATGTCTACCGTTTTCAATTGCCAACCAACTGTCTACCTTCATATTACTCAATATGAGTGAGCAGCATTAGCATATAAAGGAAACGACGCACTAGCGTTCGATTACAAACCTTTGCTTATACTGTGTATTGTATGTTTTGACTGGTAAAACAATCAGAATGGTAAACTTAACGCTTTTTTTGTATATAGATTGGATTTGGAAGACGGTTAAAGAGAAAACTTAAGAAAAGGAAACAAGGGGAAATTAAACAAACGAAATTTAATATGCTATATTGAGCTCAGATATATTATTGTCTAAATTAAGGGGGATCAGCGAGAATGCATGTTGCAGGCATAATATACTGAAGCATGTGCATGCTTAGAATAAATAGCTCAAATGACAAAGGCAAAGTTATTCAGCCCACACTAAAGAAATGCCAACAGCAAAAAATTTATCGCCAAAATTATTATTGTACAATATATCTCTTCTAAAGGATTAAATATGCGCTCATCTGGAGCTCCTCAATGCTACATCAAATATTTGGACAAGGGACTAGAAAACAAATTACAAAAAAAGTAATAGTGGTCGAAAGAATTATAATATTCTGAATCTAATCTACAGGAAATGCTAGTGTACATTAAGTTGTTGCTATCTGAACTGTTCATGAGTTCCTCTTTGTCATGAGGGCTGCATCTGATCTCGCCGAAGAGCCTGCTGGAGCTGAATGACCTGTTGTTGCTGCTCTGGCGGCAAGGAACTCAATTGCTCTGGAGTCAGATTCAATACTTGTTGCAGCAAAACAGACTCCACATCAGGTGGAAGCTGGGATGAACGAAAAAAATAAAGATGATTTATAAATCCAGAACGATTGGTTAAAGTAATCAATCAATACAGGGTCCAGGTGGTAAAAAGAATTAAACAAAAAAGAAATGTAAATATGAAACATTTGAAGGCATTTTTTTTCAGGCAAAAGTTTGCGAGCATTGGACTTTTTAAATAAAAGGCATACGATGCGTTGGCGTTTTGCACTATGCATAAAATCCTTCTCCTAATGTGGGGAGTCATATTACCAAGGTAGAGTCTAAGCTTGTAACCAAGGCAGAGTCATGTTAAGCATGATCCGTTATACCAATCTCTAGTTTCACGCAAATTAGTGGTTATATGGGCATGCATGACCCCTACAGAGGTAGTTTCTAAAGATGGTTCAGATGCCAAAAATCACAGAAACACTTTGGTTCATTGGCTCGGTACATAGATAAAGCATAAATTTACTCACTTAGTGATGATATTTCAAAGTTCAAACTAAAAGGATCAGAAGGCTTTATAGCATAACCTACTGGATGCGTATGTCAAATATAGTGCCCACACATAATTGGGAAATTTGATTCAATTCCTATTAATTAAGTATACCTAACCACACACACAATCTAATGTAAATTTCAGACATTATTTACGAAAGCAGGCAATAATATTAAGCCATTCTGAAGTATGTTCTCGACATTCTTTTCTTTAAGGTTAGACAAACTTTTCTAGACATCAAATGAAAGACAATTCAAATTACTGAATCTCAAAAGACCTTACAACAACTTTTGCATGCAAATTTGAACAATAACAATGAATCATCAAATAAATTCAGAAGAAAATAATTCACATTCACTTCTCATCAATGAATCACCAAGTCACGTACCTGAGAAGATTGTTGTTCGGGATATTGCCCTTCTGTTTTAGGAGCTGCGTGTATAGGCAATGAGCTTCTTCCAAGGGCATGAGATGGTCCATCGGTGACAGGCACGTCTGAAATCCCAGCAGAAAGAGATGCACTCCTTCCGTCATCCAATTTCATGAGCTTTGATGGGTGAGAAAAAGATTCTGAAGAATCACGAACCATGCTTGTTTTCTCCACTCCCAAAGGCATGCTTGAATACGTTGTATTAGAAGATTTATCACCTTTATTCAATAACTGAGAATTAGATGATGATATGGAGGGACCAGGCTGTTTCAAAGAATGAAGTTAGATACGTTACTTAAAAATATAAGCATATAAAATATAGAAGTTGTAGCCAGCTCAGCAGAAGTGAAGAGAAAATAAACGTCTACACACTATCAGCTACACGCAGCATATCAATTTGAAAGCACAAAGGGATTATGCTCAACCAATAACTGGACATTTCTATGAATGGTAAATAATGTGAAAGCATTACAAAAATGTCAATGATGCTTCAATAGTAGGTTTTGGTGAATTTTTTTCTTCATTTACCATCTCTTTCTTTTGATAAACAAATAAAATATTAAAAAGGAAAGTAAATATACAAATGCAAGAGGATAAAAAATCTCCAAAAACTAAGCAAACAAGAAAGGGAAAAAACTACATGACCACCTATTTATAACATAAAATACAAAAGGGTACTGAATTTAGACTCTCTAATATTTTCACTTTCAAATCTGAAATCATTCAACTTGCAACCCTGCTCTAGCAACTGGAGGGATATATATCCCTCAAAGTTTATGTGTCTGATTTGACTGGTAATATTAGTTAAACTCGCAAGTTAACTCAGATGAGAAAGTTCAGGGTGGAAAAACAGACTGACTTGTTGGGAAAATAGTATCAAACCTGGATAGAATGAGCTATGAACAGACAAACTCATTTAAACTCACAATTTTACACATGGGCTAGGATTGCTGCAGCAATATTTCCCATATTGGTCAAAAAGTATAAATATTCTATCTGCAGTTGATGGGATATAGTGATATATCAGGAATCCTTATGGTGCTAAAAAGGCGTTTCTTCTCTGATAGAATTGCAGGAACGGAAAGCTTTGCTTGGTACATGTGGGTTTCTCCTATTGTCTAGTTTTTGTATTTCTATTATCCTATGCAACAGACTAATTTCTTTCTCTATTACCAATACGAAAATAATAATAGGCAATAACAAAATGCATAATGCAAGAATAATCATCCAATGAAAAGAAAGGTGGGGCTAACCCAGCATGTTACGTTCTAATCTTAACTTTTAATGTATAGATTTATTTAAAAAAAAAAATCCTATCTCAACATAAAAGAACTAAAACACGAGCAAAACATGGCACCTGAAAGTTGGCATCTGGACGAACCATTTGACTATTATGTCCAACAGTTGAGTTTCCAACATGTACAGAATGCTGTAGCAAAGAGGCATGCATTTGCTGGTTCAGAGCAATTGAAGTTGTTGGTTGAATTGGAGGCCTGACAGACAAACTTCCCAAACTCGGGCGCACAGAAGGAAGCATTAAATTTGGTTGCCCTGACAAAGTTCCGGGCAGTACAAGGTTACTTTGATGTTGTTGAAGAGGAATTCGGGGCTGCACTGGAGGCTTTAGATGAGCAGTTAATTGATTAGGAGCAAGAGGATTATGAATTATGGTGCCGACTTGGCCTTCTTGAGCATAAGGTGTCAAACCAGACTGCAATTTGCTCTGCCCATGAGGCGGAATGCTAGGTAGAGTTTGAACCAATGGCGGCTGACCCAGCTGACCTTCATTCATTACAGACTGTGAGGTTTGATCTGAAACCATCCTAAGGTTTGGCATTTGTAACTGCAATATTATTATGAAAAATAAAATTACAAGATCTAGAAGGAATAAGCTTAAGGAGCAGAAGTCTCGGTAGTATAATATAATTTTAATGTTAATTTAAAATGGCGTAAGCCTTAAATGATCATAATAGTTTAGGGTTTAGGGCTATTCAATAATACTTCAGTTAATGTTATAATTCCTACAGCCATTTTTAAAGCTTTTCAGCAACTGGGCTTCTATGCCTTTTCCTCAAGTCGTTTCAGTCATTTGGCTTTATTTCTTAATGGTTAATTATTAAACTTTAGACCTCAGGTTTAGGACTATTTGTAACCCAAATTTTGACTGGTCGTCCCCTCATACAATTGATGTATACAGCTGCCATGAAATCATTTCCAGATAATTCCTACTGCCTAGACATGCAAGGCATTCAATTGCTTAACAAAGACTATTGCTCTCCAGAGGCAATATATAAAACAAGTAATAAGAAAATAGTGTCCCAGAACACTCGAACTGTAATCTACAAATTAAAAGGTTCAATTCACAGCCTTGGCAGTTGGGATTTTTAGCACCCTAAATCAAATTGCAAGTCCCGAATGTCGAATATTTGGCATAAAATATAAAACAAATAAACATCAAGCAGAAAGATAATGAAACAAACCACTTGGGTAGTCACCATTCCTAGCATTATTTGCGCCTGCAAATAAAATTGTGAACAAAATTATCAAAAAATTACCGAAATCATTGATACATACAAATACAGATCCACAAAAACCCCAAAAGGTTACATTTTTGGGGAGTTACAAATATTGCTATTAGATAAAACACCTTGATTGTCAAAACAAAGACAAAGTAGCACACGAAATTGAAAGATTCTAAATTACAGCCCACACAACGAACATCGTTATATTTTCTTTTAGACAATAAATTTATGGAACGAGAATTACAAGAGTCCGATAAGGATGAAGGAATACTCTTAAAGAAAACAGAATGAAAATGGCTGGTGGCAGGAACCAAGTATTATAAAAATACCATGTAACCATGGACCACAGAGCCAAGACTGACTATTATGAATCATGGTTTTGGTGCAACGTACACTATGAAATGGTAGGCTGAGTTTTTCAACTTTCAAAAGTGTAAAGGATAATTACAAAAAAAAAAGGCCACAAAATAAGAAAATCATGTAAAAATAGCATATATTTTAGACTAAACATGTCCAGTGGAATGTTCCTGGTTTAGTCACGTAATGGATTGGAATGAAATTAGTGCAAAACAAAACTATCTCCTCCCTCCTCCAAGCAGACATACCCTGAATTCCAGTTCTTCAAGCAGAAGGATTTCTTACAAAACTGCTATGAATGACACACAATCTCAAAAGGGAAAAAAAATAAAAATAAAAAACTCAGCTCAGCCGCATTTAAATTGAAAATATGAGAAAAGGTCGTCCAAAAATTCATTTCCTATTCACCAGTCTCCACTACTCAACTATGTTAATTTTCAGGATCTTATCTCATTTGTTCATTTCTAACATAGTCACATGTGGTGAATTCAGTTAACTGTCTTCATTACACAATTTGATAGCTTCCATAATTGAAATCTATATCATACAAGCACACGTAGAAACTAAAAAGAAGCAAGTTTGTCATCGAAGAAAGGTATGCTAAAAATTCACGGGGGAATTGATATAGGAGAAAAGTACACACCTGGAAAAGAGCCTTGGGTAACTGTGGCCTTGAAAGCAACAGCTGGCGAGCCAGATCCTTGTTTTGTGTAGCCATTCCCTGCCATCATATCAAGATTGAATAGGTCAAGAAAAGAGAAGTCTAGGCAAGTTAAATTACCTTTAACCAATAGTTTACCTTGAGCTCAGAGATCATCTCCGTAAGCTGACTCCTGGACATTTTGGCCAGATGCAGTGTTAGAGGATCATGTGCCAATGCTGACTGACTTTGCAAACTATTTTGATTTGATTGGATGCCAAACTGAGCACCACCTAGAGCTGCTGTCATCACAGCTGCAGCAGTTATGGCAATATGGAGACCAATAGGCTGATGCTGAACAGCTTCACCATGGACAGCTGGGCCACCAACTTGTTTCTGAGGGTCTTTAATACATAAAAAGAAAAAATGAAAAACACAGGAGGAAAAAAGATTATGTATGCAATAGAATTTATCACAAAATAAACGAATGGCAAGAGCATAAAGAACCAACCAGCATTGGTTGTCATTCCAGGCCCACCACGACCCTGTGCCAAAAAATAAAAAATAATCAATTTAATCTGTAATACAACCAACATCCAGTACATGATTCCTCTATTTTGACCGAAAAATGAACAATGAAATTTCGCGGGGTGTAGGGGATCCTAAATTCCTTAATCATCATCTTTCAAATAAATGAGTTTTAATGTATTCACATTACTTTATTGTCAAGAGGCTTGACACCTTTGACTGAATATGGGTGACTCAATTTAATTGGTGAAAAATGAAACTACCACAAATAAAAGAGATTGAACAATGCGAGATCATCACAATATTTGTATATGTTAAAACGTATTTCTCTTTTGGTTTCACATTGACCAACTTCTGAGGCTTGAAAAATATAAATGAGCGACAACAAATGTCCGATAAGTCATGATTTTCCAGGCCCATGCCAGTATGAATAGTTTGGAATTGAGCTTCTCCCAGCTTACTCGCCACATTACATAGCAAAGATTCGGAAGAATAACTAGTCACTATTTCAAGAAACTTTGACAATTTACCTGTTCTCTATTTCTGTCAGTTCCTTTGTCATTTTCAGCAAAATCAACACGTAATTGCCGCCCATTAATTTCATAACCCTGAAGATTTCGTCGAGCACTTAAAGCGGTCTCTTCATCCTTATACTCACAGAATCCATAACCTTTTGGTTTCCCAGTTTCTCTGTCAATAACTAATCTGCAGATAAAAGAAGATAAGAATACTTCAAAATCTTCAACCAAATAAACAATTGGTCAAGAAGCAAAAGGAGGTTCCAAAATATCACAGAAAAAATAAATCTCATAATGAAACTTATCCCTTAAAACAGACTTGGAAAGCCGCTTCTAGCCATAACTATTGGCCTTGCTTGCATAAACTTTTCCATAATTTCTTATAAGATCTGAGAATAAGATGGTAAAATAAATTGAATTTCTCACATAAGATAAAATCAACTTAGACACCTCAACTAGTGGGAAAAACTTATTTCATTTTTCTTATTATTTACTTCTACAGTAAGTGTTTATGGAGAAGCTTCTAGGACCAAAGTCTACACCTAATCCTCTACTCCCAGATTGGAAGAAAATACGAATTGTTGTAACAAATAAGAAAAACCTAAAATACAATATTCAACCACAAGAGTTTAACTTTTTTTCAAAGTTACCTGAATGAGACTACTGGGCCAACCTCCTGGCAGATTTCGACAAGCTGTTCCTCTGTAGCATCATACGGTATATTCCCAACTACACCAAAATCACAACAATTGTCATAACCTATCAACCAACGCGCACGAATTTCATAAACTTCAATCTGATTGAAATTGACAACATCCAAGGTTGTTGTAATAACACGAAGTCACAAAGGTTGAAATTTAGAGATAAATAAATTCAATATTTAATTTTGATTTCCGATTTCTTCAACACCTAAACACTCAATAACCAGAAAAATGCGAAGATGGAGAGAGAGGGTTACCGAAAACGCAGCGATGCTGGGACTGGGAGGTGGCCATGAAATCAACAGCAGAAGAAGAAGGTGAAGCGCTGCTCCATCTTCTTCCTCCTTGGAAACATAATTTGTCGGGGGAGATACAAAGAAACTTTCCGTTTCGATTCGATCTTCTTTTTATTCTGCAGCAACGTATTGTTGTGTTAATGAAAGGGTTTTTAATTTTGTTTTATAGACATAAATTATATTTTTGACACATCGATCCTTATAACTAGTCACTATTTTATATCATAATAAAAATTACCTTACATGTAAGATAAAAGAATTAACAAGTATTATAAGGATAAAAAATATTGAAAATTATTTTTTGAAAATTAATCGAATTTATTTTTTGAAAATTAATCGAAAATATTTTAAAAATGTAATTAAAAAAAATAATAAGTTATAATAAAAAATAGAAAATAACTTTAATAAAAATGAAAACATAATATACATAAAAAATTAAAATTAAAATATATTTTTTCAAATTTTATTTTTTAATATTTAAAAATAAAAAACAAACACTGTTTTTATTTTAATTTTTAGTTTTAAAAACTAAAAAATATAAATTATTTAGATAAATAGTTTTAACAATACTTATTAAATAACTTTTACTTTAAAAAATAAAAAATATGAAAACTATATTTAAAAAAGTAAACGTGTGAGAGTTTTTGAAAAAAAAAAAGATTAATTTCATACAATAATATAAATATGTATTTTAGTACACGACATGCGTAATTAAAGAGAGATAATTGTACATCTAATTCGCAGTCCTGATATTAATTTATAGCATATTACAGATAATCATTGGAAATAAAATTTATCAATAAATATCTTTTATTTTATTTTAAACCATTTTATACCTAATTAACAACTCTTCTTATAATTAAAAAAAACTAAATCTTATTAAATAATTTAATCACATTTTGATTATTTCTTTATTTAAAATCTATAAATATTTTTAAATATATTGTTTTATTTTTAATATTAACAGTTAATATAATAATATTAATATTGCATATAAATAAATATATATATATATATAATTTTTATATAGAAATTAATAAATAAAATACATTAATATTTATTATCTTATATATTGGGATTATTAATATTTTATGCATAAGAGTTTTGATAAAAGGTAAATTAAAATTATAAGTGTGAAGATCAATTAAGAGTAGAAACCAGGATTTAAGAATAAAATTTGAAGTTTTATCGATTAAGTTAAAAAGAATTATAAATAAAATATATTAATTATTTAAAATTTATTACCATAAAATGATAATATTTTTATAATTCTTTTTTCTGTTTTTTTATTTTTTATTTTCATTTCTACTTTGATCTATTTTTTAATTCTAAGTACGCATTAGTGATTTTATAAGAGAAAATATCATTTTTATCTTATTAAAATTTTAAATAGAACAAGTTATTATATTTAATTTATGAATATTGTAATATATTTAACCTGTTAATTGAAATTTTTCATGTTTTCCCATGAGATTAAATGTTGTTAGAGTTTTTGAAATAAAAAAGATTGAGAATTTGAGGCAAAAGAAACTAATAATAAGTTTCTTAGCACTCTAAAATAAATCATTTGAGTAATTATAACTTGGTCACTTGAAGGGAGTTGATTGTGGAGACAGAAATATGAAGAGTCTGCTGGAGCCATGACCCTCTCAACCCCAAACCATTATATATATATATATATATATATATATATATATATATATATATATATATATTATTATTTTATAAATATTAAAAATTTATCTTTTCTTCTCTTAATTTATTATTATACATAACTTTTCATTAACATGTTTTTTTTTTTTATCTTTTTTTTTTTCCAACTACAACTTTTTATACAAAATATTCATTTTGTCTTTTCACATTTCTATCTTTAATTTTTATCATTTGTTCACCCTCATGTTTTTTTTCTCTCTCAAGGTTTCACCTTATACCATACAAATTGAAAATGGTTCTTTTTAGTTTTTTTTTTTTTATAATTTCGTCTTTATAACAAAAATTAAATTTTTTATTTTTAGTTTTAGTTTTTTTTTTCTTTTGTTCAAAAATAAATAAGGCAAAAAGTTAAAAAATAAATAAAATATCTCACAATATTTTTTTAAGTAAAAACTATAAATAAATTTTTTAATTTTTTTTATTTATTATTATAACAATTAACATGTGCACTATGATATTTTTCATTTTAATATTTTATGATATCTTATTTTGATGTTAAAATGTGAAAAAAAAATTGAGTTTTAGAAATATATAAAAATAAAATTATAGAATCATTTTTAAAAGAAAAGAGAGGACAGATGAAATAAATTTTATTTTCTTAAATTTAAATTTAATTAATAATATTAAATATATAATATATTTATTTTTATACGTCAGTCTACTTGTCTAAAATTCTTGGTTCCGTACTTGATTGTGAAATAATAATATTGTTATTTTATGTAATTGAATGAGTTAAATTAGATTTATTATGTGGGAAAGATATGCAAAAAATACTAGGATATAATAATAATAATATTTAGATTAGATATAATATATTCTATAAGAAAATGATATAATAGAGTATCAAATGATAGATGTTAATATCTAAACAATAATTTAAGGTGTATTTTCATAATATGTCATCTACATAATTCGCTTAAGCGACAACTTCCTTGTTGTTCATGCGAAATGTGCAATGAAGATAAAAACTCATATCCGGTGTAATTTCGCTTAAACAAAAATATATCGCTCAAATGAAAAACACAAGTCTCGGGTATATTTTTACTCAAGCAAAAGAAGTTTCGATCAAGTGAGATTTCCCACACAAAAAAACTTGATCAAACTTCTAAAAATCATAAAAAATAACTTCAAACTCCAAATTTAACTATTCATATACCCAAATTGAAGTCTCGAAAATGAGGAATCCAATAAAACAAAAATGAGTCAAAAAAATATTAAAAAAAATATTGTCAAAAGAATAAGTAAAGGTCAAATTAGAAAAATGTATTTTGTGTTGTAAATGTGATAAATACTATGAATATAACTTAGAATGTTAAAACATAAGTTATGAGTATGAATGAGATATGTTGAGTACTATTATATGCATAGAAAAATATTTTGTTGTAATGTGAGAAGTATCATGAGATATCCATATATGTATGTTATATATGTAATGAATTATAAGATGATGTGATGATATTTTATGTATGTTTAATATTAAGATATATTTATTGAGACTTAGTCAAGTCGGAGAGTGATTTATAATCAATTGAGATATATTTATGTATGTAAAATTAAATCAAATCGGGAATGTGATTTATAATTGACTAAAATGTACGTGGGTTCTTGAGGTCCTATGTGATGAAATGTGTATGAATATTGAATTGAGATTCCAAAAAATATTATCATGACTTCACTAATAACTGGAATCACATAGATAAAGGGATCACGTGGTGAGAGTTAAAAGAAAGTCTTTATGACTTAGTTTGTGGTGTAAAAAAAATGTATTTGATAAGGGAGTTTATCTTGTCAAATGAGAAATTGCGTTTCAATTATATACCTATTTTAAAAATGTCCACTTTAAAAAGATAATGTGACAAATATAGAATATTCGAATCTAATTCAATATCTAGTATTATGAAATTTGTCTAGAGTCTATGTGATGTAAATTGATATGATATAATAAATTTAAAATAGATTTATATAATGATAAATATATGTAAAAATTCATGAAATTGTAATTTTAAAACAAATTAAAATTTAACCTATTTTTTTCATAATACTAGTTTATCCTATATATTTTGTACATTGTTTTTTTTTGTAGTACGATGACTATGTTTTACATTGAAATATATGATCACGTGTTAAAAATTAATGGAAATGATAGAATCTTTTTGTTAATTATATATTTTATGATATTTTAAATGTGTATAAAAATTCTCCATAGTTTATATTTTGAAAATACCTTTATGTAAATTAAATAAATATTTATAAAATGTTGTGAGATGCTGTAATAGGAAATTTATGTATTATTATTTTTAATAAAATTAAAATTTAACTAAAGAATAATGATTATATTAAACAATAAAATACGTTAAAAATTATTTTATTATAAAACTAAAATTATATAAGTAGTAATTGAATCTTGATACACGTAATTTTCTTTTACCAGCGTCCACGTTATTACATTAAACATAATGTTGAAGACCAAGAAAATAAAAATTGCGCAATGTTCACCAAGTGTTGTTGTGAGCTTAAGTTTCTTGATCGGAACATGTCATGCAAAAACAGTTGTTGCTGCTCTGTCTATCTGGATCAAAACATCAGGGCCAATTGACATAAAACACCAAGTGTGAAACTAGCTATGCTTTTACATAAATTCTCACACCAACTTTTAATATATAATTTTTCCAACAATAACTTAAAATGATTGGTTGGGGATGTATTATTATTTGGCAGATCATAACCAAGCAGAAAATATTCTATGAATTTATTGATTAAAAACGAAAATAACCACCAATGCAAGTAAAGTACCCAAAACATTAATATTTTACTAAACTTTATTTTAGCAAACATGAAATGAAAAATGGAATCTTTTGCTCTAAAACAATAACTTATAAGACAATCATTTGATTATTATATTTTTTTATTAACTTCCATTTGATTTCCCTTATTCATTTTATAAAATAGTCAATAAACACAATTAACTAATAGTTTAATTTTCAAAGCAAAAGTTGTGCGGTTACAACTAGTGTTTTAAATTAAAAAGAACAATATTTAAGGCTTTTGAACCAAATTCAAGCAAAAATTGTAGTAATCTACCATCACAAAGTCCAAAAACAGTTGTTTTCTCCAGAGTTTATCATAAATATTAGATCATCTTTGATATTAAGAGTTTACACCATCTTTTAAGTAAATCTTTATTATCTATGTATTTTATAAGATCTACTAAGATTTTATTCCCTTTTTATTATAATAAAAAATTTTATTTTAAGATTTTAAGTAATTTTATAATTCATGATAAACTTTTATTTAATTTTTAAATTTAAAAAATAATTAAAATTTACTTATTAAGAAAAAACAAAATTAATGTCAATTTTAAAATATTTTTTCTTTTTAAATTTAGTTATCTCTTCCACCCTTGTTCTAGCTTCTTTTTTTCATTTTTAATCTCCTCCTACCTTTATCCATATTTTAATTCCTTTTCTTTTATCCTCCTTCCCTTCCCAACCCCCTTTTTTTCTGTGATTTTTCTACCTCCCCTTTTCCTTCCCACTTCTTTTTTCCTGTGATATACGTTAAGATTTTGGCAATACGAAATCTTAGACTTACGATTGTATTCAAGGGACAGATACCCATAGATATTAGAACAATAGATTTATGTAATTAATTAATAATTATTTTAAGAGTAAAGCCTAAAATGATTTTTAATGACTGACATTGTTGAAAGTAAATTATATTTTATTTTAGCATTGATAAATAATATCAAATAAAATAAAAACCTGCAGTACATAACTCGACACATATATTTCATATATAAACATTTATTTAAAAAGTACTGTAATTATTTAAAAAATAATAATCTTTCAGGAGGAAAAATGCAATTCAAACCAATTTTTCTGAAACCATTTTTGATGGTCTTACCAATAACTGACCAATTTCGGCCTATTGATCAATTTTCAAACCCAGGTCGATGACCTAACCTATTATCGGTCCAACCATCCAGTTTCATAAACTTAGCTCCTTACTTGCAGACCGGTTCTTAATATTCAGGACACATGTTTATTTATCAAACTTAGCTCTTAATAACAATTAAATGCTAATACAGGCGTTATAACCGACAAAAGATCACAAATACAAAGACACGTTTCAAAAAATGAGATCTTATCCATGAACATTCTATCTACAAAATAAAATTCCCTCCAGGTTTAATAAGATTTACATGGGCCCAAAAAGAAAATCTAAAACTAATAAAAAAATAAAGATTAGATGAGTTCGAAAACTTGGTTACCTCACCTTGCAAATTCCTGTACATTGCCATTTCTTCAATTAAGACTCATTTAGGCTTACCCTACGCCCTATAATGCCCTTAATATTCACAAAGATATTTTTTATTTTGAGAATTTGTTAGAACTGCACTGTTTGGTAATTCCGGGGAGGTCCCAGACAACAGTCATTCTGGGAGGTCCCAGACAATATATACCTAGCAGCAAAACTTTGGATTTACATGATATATATAATAATCAAGGAGAGATACATCTCCCTAATAATCTCAAGTTTCCAACAAAAATCCATAAAAAAGCACATAAAGCAATGAGTATAGGGAAGAAAAGGATTGAAAATCCCCTTCTGCCCGCTTTCTTCATAGTTGCGGTGTCTTTACCTGCGGCATTGTTAAGGTGCTTGATCTTCACCCGGCTGAAGCTAGACATTCGATTCAAAGCTCGGTTCACCAAAGCACTTTCAGCAGCTGATGCAGGAGTAGTCGGTATTGACTCAACAAAGGCCCAGAGAGAAGAGGAGAAGCTATTTGTAGTAACATCTTCCACCGTGCTAGTTTGATTGTTATTGCCTTCAGTAGGAAAGCTGACAGATTCATATACAACACCTAAAACATGACCGAAAAACAAAAACTAGCATACATTAGGGGATAGCCTAAGACATTTGTTTTAGATTTTTCAAATCAGACACTTGAAACTGGCTCGGCTCTCATTTTCCCAAAGGGAATATAAAGTCAGAAAACTTAATTTGAGTTTTAAAAGCTATCAAAATGGCACAAATTTTATACTCCAAAAAAGCTTCCGCCATGCATAAGCTGGCATGCCAATCAAGAGCATTAAACTGTGAAGAGCTCAGAACAAATGAGATGGGAAGCTTGAATCTAACTCTGAATCAAAGAAAGTAAAATCATTATTTGGCAGTGGAGCAACACTGTATCTTGTGCTGTTGACAATACCTGGGGAAGATAACGAGAAAGAATCAACAAAGCCTTCTGATGGAATCAGGGTGTTTCTTTCACCATGCATCAAGAATTCACCAACAGTTTGGTTGGCATCCTCTAGATTGGGTAGGAACTGGTAACTTTGACTTTCAATATTGTTGCTGACAAGGGCATTTGAATATGCATGTGAATCTGGTTGGTGAATAATTGGCCCCAAGTCACGAAGAAACATCTCTGCATCTTGGTACAAATCAAGTTCACTTAACCCATCTTCAAACTGCAGGTACTCCACAGGATTTTCCATATTTGACAATGCAGGTTCATTATCAATGAGATCATTAATTTCCAAGAAGCCATCCTCATCCAAGTCAAGTCCCTTTGTTCTAATGTTGGAGGCAGAAGAAACCTCAGATGCTTCAGAAACTTGCAAATGAGACGTAATTGGCTGGTTGAAGTCAAAGCTGGGCTGCGCATCAAAATATTGACTGCTAGGATTGATCGCATCAGGGAACATGACAGGCTCAGATAACTGATCCACAACAGTACTTTGTGTTTCTTCAGTAACAACCTTCGCAATTATAGAACAAATATCAGCAACGACTTTCAGAATGACATGTAGACAATAATAGGGCAACAAATCATCAATAGCTTTGAAAATATCGATAAAGGAAAAAAGGAAGACCAGCATTACAATCAACAAATAAATGGGACTGCCTTGCAGTTTCTTTATTTACAGTAGAGATATTCAAAAGCATTATTTTCAGTATTCACAAACCAAAACCACAAAGTATAGCAGCTTTTCACATATTTTGATTCGAGCAAGACAAATAATCCCCACTAAAACTGCAAAATTTTGCTGTCAAATTGGAAGCCGATTTATAACCAACTGCATCAACAATAATCTTATCCCACCAGGTGAGGGGAATCAGTTTATAGACAAAAAGATCAAAACTTGGAAAGGTCGAAACAATTGCATATATAGTATATGCTGCTAAAGGTTTCCTACCCGTACACCCTACCCACACAATAAACAAAAGGAAATAAAGGTGAATCTAAATCAATAAGAAACCTTGAAAAGATGACAGACCTGAGAAAATTCAGGATAAACATTCACATGTCGCTCATCAAGGACAAGCTCATCATCCAAAATTTCTCTAATGATGTCATTGATTTCATCATCAAGCAAAGGTACATTAACTGTCTCACTAACATCATTAAGAGGCTCCTGATCAATTGGGTGAATATTAAAATCTACTACGTCATCATCTGCCCACTCTTGTTCATTAAATGGTGCACCATACTGTTCACCATTTTTTGGACCAGGTCCACTTTTCTTGTACACCTTGTAAAGTGCATAATAGTCCTGATAATGAATTTATATTAAAAAAAAAAAACCCAAAGTCAGAAAATAGTACTCTTACCATGATCAGAACAAATGAAGAAATTTAAAGCCAAATGGTACCTTAACACCCTGGCATCTCTTAAGCTCCTCTTCATCCATGGTGTATTCATGCATAACCCAATCAGTCCGTTCACCACTTGGAGCTCTGCCTATATAGAAAACCAGGGTCTTTTTCACTCCAACTGTCCTAGAATTGCATATTACATTACGATCCTTTCCTGTTGCCTTCCAGTACCCATGCCTGGTGGCTCGATTAGACCTTGCACCATTAGGATACTTCCTATCTCTGTGACAGAAAAAGAACCATTGCCTGTCTCCAGTTTTCAGTATAGATTGCCCTTCAAAATATTAAAAGTCATTAATTAGTCAGTAGCCAAACAAAAATTTAACGGGAGTCAGAGTTTTATGATTCAGATTAAGATATATTGGGACTGAATACGAAAGATGTGTAGTGATGCACATTATATCCAATCTACAAATGTTTTGTGCAGCATAGGCCAGAACTTTAGAACTCCAAAGCATTGACAATATTGAAACATCAATTCCCATGAAATAGCCACCATATCAACCAAGAGATCTCGAACCCACCACCACCCTCTCCAAACACCATAATAAATAAAAAATAAATAAACATAGCTAGTGCTGTGGTAAATGAAACCAGGCCACAAAGCTAAGGAAAACAAAACTCCCGTGAGCAACCTAACAGAAAAAACAAAACAGATTGACACCACCACGACAATAACCTGAACCGCTTAAAGCTACAAATAAAACCCAAATAACACTACCTTATTCAAATAAAGGTAAGTCAACTATTGGCTGTACCAGAACAAAGCATCTAAAGCATAACTTCATCAAAACATGATATCAATCATAACAATATTTACAACAATAAATTCATTACCATATCATCTTCTAATCAAACACACAAAACAACCAAATAAAAAGAATCACAAATCCAAGTCAACGTCATAACAATCAGTCAATCATCGACTAAAAAATGATAAAAGATAGAAACAAACTATCAAGTACCAGGTAACTCCTCAGGATCCCACTTATACACATCGGTTTCACGAATCACGTTGAGCTTCAGCCTCTTCCCACAAATCTTCCGCTTCAGATAATACATCACCAACTCCTCATCAGTGGGATGGAAGCGAAAACCCGGCATAGATGACATCATCTGGCTGAAGCAATCAGCGGAACCGTCTCCCGAAACCTCACCCATTCTCGATCGCAAGCAAAAACCAAATAACCCTCGGTCACCCAACACCAAAAACTCACTTTCTAAACCAAAACCCCGAAAAATATGACACAGTTCAAGCCTCCTGGTAGTCGAAACCGGCGATCAAATCCTGGAATAGAAAACCCTAACTAGAGAAAGAAAACCAGAATTTTGGGAACAAAAAAGTGACAAAGCCAAAATCCACAATTACATGGTACAAATCGAACCTCTAGGTGAGAGGATTCGATACTGAGTCGCCGGACAAAAACCTAAGCCCAGAGAGTGTTAGAAAGCAAAGAACGCGTGAATTGAGAAAATGGTAAGATATGAGGGGTTTTGGTTCGGGTTAGTATTGTGGTCAAAGACGGAAGCTGATGGCAGTGGCTGGGAACCTTCCTTGGCATGAGATCCACTGTTTCTCAATGATAGAGTAAGATTGTGAGATCATCCATGTGATGCAATTACGTGGGATTCAAGATTAAGTCTCGAAATGATAAACGGTGATTAAAACACTGGAGTTGAAGGTGTAACAACTACATATGAGTACGGGTGCATGGGATCGACCTATTTGGTGTGAAAATTTTTTCAATTGGGTATCCTACACTTCAAATCATACTTTGATTATCTCACAACTGCGCAGACCAGAAAGGTTACTATTGTTGACTAATAAACAGTCTAGTTTTTTATTTTACAAATGTATAATTTATTATTTATTAAATATTATATATTATAAAAAAAATGGTCACCTAAGTAAAAAGTACATAACATTATTATATATTTGTTTTTCATCCAATGTCATAACTATTTATTGTGTGAAAATTTATACTATATGTAGTTATAGTAGTGTTAGTAAGAGATCAACAAAAAATAAAAAAAGTGAAGGAAGCAAAAAATCGAGAACTATACAATTAATTGAAAAATCGATAAAATTAACAAGACACCTGGTGACCACAAAGATAAAAACATATCGAGTATTGAAATCGAGAATCGAGGGAATAACACTTAACGTCCGTTGGTGAAGAAAATCAAGAAATCAAAATCATGTAACGTTGAGGATATCGAGAATCAAAAGCAATCCAAAACTCTCGAAGTCTCGAAGTCTAAATTGAAGGGAAGACTACCATACGCGAATATCGAAATTCTGGCTAAAAAGAACAGTCGACGTATACATCGAACATAGTAAGCGGTGGCAAAGGCCGAAGGTCAAGGGAACAGTTACCTCATGCATGGGAACGTGGATGCAGTTTCTAAACCATAGAGCTAAGAGCAAAACTGCAAAAAGACGTGCACAGAGAACGTGGTAGCAGTTTTCGTTAACTGCTCTTAAGAAACTACTTGAAAAGACACTATAAATAGAGCGAAGGATGAGAGGGGAGGGGGGACAAAATTGGCAGAGAACAGAAATACTAGTGAGAAGTCTACCGGAGAACGATGAACATCATGAAGTTTCTGGCGATCTGGATTTCCACGCTCATTGAGTACCTTTACCGCTTTCTTTATTTTCCTTGGTAATTTACTTTGATGCAGTTTATGTTTAGCAACTTTAAGTTTCTGTGTTTTCGATTCCTGGTCAATTTCAGTTTAATGGAAATAAAACTTTCTGCATTTAAATTTTTCGTCCTTTAACTTCGATGCAAATTCGATTTCCAGTTATTTACTTTTTATGCGTATTTCGATTTCTTGCTATTTACATTTCCGCAATCTCTATTTCCCGTTAGTTCCACAATTTCGATTCCTTGTCGTCTACACTTAATGCAAGTTTAAGGTTCCCGTACTTTACATTTCTTCGCAATTTAATATTCGATACTGCTTCTTCGATTTGATATTTTACTGTCTTTTTCTCTTCGAGTACTATAAATACAAAATACCAAAAATAGTGTTTTCAATAAGTCATGACACGTTAATAGGATTTTCTCGATACTGTGATATTTTCGATTCTCATATACATTTCGATTGAAAAAACATTTGTTAGCCTAAGTAAAAAGAACTTGCGTGGTTGAGTTTTGGTTAGAACAAAATCTCTTAAGAATCTGAATCGATCAAAATTCCACCGTAAACAAGTAGTTAAGATGCTTGTAATAAATATATACTATAATTATATTTTACAATTAAATAAATTAAAGAAAAATTAAAATTTATAAAACAATTATTTATATATTTTTAATAATATTTTTAAAATTATTATTTTATTACTTTTTCTCTTTTATTAATATTATACAATATTATTTGTACTTATAATAAAAATATTATTATAATTTATAAATTATTTTATGTTGTCCTACACTTATTATGTGTTGATTATAGACGTATTAATGACCATCATTTTTTATTTTATTTATTATTATTATTATTATTATATTATTATTATTATTATTATTATTATTATTATTATTATTGCGTTGATTACAATAGTCTTAATAACAATCATTCTTATTTCTCAATACTAATATCTTAATAATTTCTTAAATATTAATACATATTTCTTCTTAAAACTCATTGACCTTGATATAGTGTTTCATTAAATGTTATGAATTATACATCACTATCTTAAATAATTTAAACAGTTTTTTTTTTTGTTTTATTAATTTCTTATATATTTAATATTCAAAACATTATAAGTTACATAAAAATAAATAACTATTATTTAATAATAAATAATTACTATAATAATTTAAAGGGTGTAATTTTAATTCTCACATTAATGAATATTTTATTCTATTCCTTTTAACATAATATATTATTTTTATATCTTTATTTTATATAATATGGTTGATAATTTATTAATTTTTTATAAATAAAAATATTTATTATTTGAATATTCGAAAAATTTAATGAAAATATTTTAGTTATAGTATAAATAATTTATTTTGTGAATAATTCTAACACATTTTACTCTTGTCTTTATAAAGTAAACAAATCTACTTGAAAATTTTAAAACTAGTTAATAATTAAAATTTAATTGCATAAAGTTATTAAACTAATATAAGTTATAAGCTTTTTTTTATCAAATTACCTGATAGATTAATAAATATAAAATGACTAATATACATATATATATATATATATATATATATATATATAATACTTTTATATTAAAGATAAGAAAGTTAAATATAAGTAGAAATAAATATAGATGATTAAAAAAAAATGATAATTATGCATTGATGAAAAAAAACATAAAACTCAATTCAAAGTATATAATGGACATACATAATTGTTAATTGATTAGAAGAAAAAATAATATATAAGATTATAAATTATAAATAATATATGAGTTTATAAATCATAAATAAAAAGTTAGTACATGCAAATGAGTTGATATATAATGCAGTAACATGAATAGATAAATACAAAGTAATTTTGCCTTATTAAATTTTCCTTTAAAACCCGTTATCCAGATAAAGGTTAATTGTGTCTAAAATTTTATTTTCTGTTCCTAATAACAGTAAATAATACGCAATTTAAATACAAAAAAAATTGTAAAGATGGAAAGACAATTACCCCATAGAATAATTGATGAGAAAAAAAACTACAAAATACAAATAAAAATCAATGGAAAATTTATTCAGATAGAAAAAAAAAGGAAGAAGAAAAAACATAGAAGTAGGTGAAAAATAATAATAAAAGAATAGTGAACAAGATGTACACGAAAACAGTGAATTTTTTTTCAAAATAGTAAAAATACACAAAATCGTAACTTTAAAATATTAACAATCAAAAAATAAATATAGGTACAAAATTATGCAAGTAGGTAGGAGAAATGTTTATTTTTTTTTTAAAAACCATGCTAATTGGTAGAAAAACAATAAAAAGGAGTAAAATACTCCTTAATTTTATGGTAAAAGTATGGAAAAATTTATTCCAATGAAGAGGAAAAATGAGTAAAAGAAAATGTGGTGAAATAATATTTTTTATTTAAAGGAAATAATAAATTATGATAATCTATCTTTGTATAAGGTAATAAAATACTTGTTGTTTATGTTTAAAAATATTTTACTTTGTAGGATTAAATATTACGAAGACATAGTTATATTTTATTCTTATTTTAATAGTTTAAATTTATTTTTCTTTATTAGTTTTCTTGCAAACTAATCGATAAAATTAATTATTACTTAGTTCACTAAATTAAAAAATTAAATGATAATAATTAAAGATCATTTTCTAACTAATACTCTCAGTATATATCTACACTACTCTCTGTACTAATTCCTTTTATCATTGATAATATATTGGTCTAAAGATATATTACAATAGTACAGTGTTGGTAGTCACACATTTTGGTTTATTCATTAATATTTTTTTATTAATTTCATTTAGTTCAAATTTCATTTTTATTAAGACTTTTGATTGGAACATAATCTGGTTTCAATTTTTTATTTCATATTGTTGTTTCTAATCAATTGGACGCTTTAAAATAAAATAAAATCACACCATTACATCACTATTAGCATATTAAAATTTTACTTGCTTTAATTCATGTTTTAAATATATACTTTTTCAAACAATCTAACTATTTTAAATTTATTTCACATAATATAATTATTTTTTCTTTCTTTCTATTTTTTTTCACTTTTATTTTTTCCTCGTTCCATTTTATTGTTAAATTTAAAATAATAAATTAAAGTTTATTAACGTTAATTTTTTATTATCATTAAATAATTAAAAAATATATTTAAAAGATATTATAATTTAATATACTATATAATAAAAACATTATATATTATTACTATGTTATAATTATTAAAAAAAGTTAAATATTTATTTTAATTTTTTTAATAAGTACTTAATATAATTAATTAGCATAACTTGACATAATTATAATTAGATTAAATTATTAAAAAAATATATTTTAATTATAATATATTTTATATATATTTTAAATTAAATAAGTGATTATTTATTATAATAGAATAATTTAAAATTAATTTTTTATGTCATAAATAAAATTATTTATTGTTAAAATAAATACAATTTTTTATTATTATCATAATTTTAAATATTTAGTTAAATTTTTTTAGTTATAATATTATTTTTAAAATATCAATTTTAGTATATTTTTATTAAATTTTAATATAATAACTTAATTAGAAGAATAAATAAGAAGGAGAAAAGAAAAAAATATATAAGATAGAAAAGATAAGGAATGAATGAAAAAAATTTATGAAAATAAAAAAGTTATATAAATAATAACTAAATCTTTTTAAATAAATAAATTTATATAAATAATAACTAAATCTTTTTAAATAAATAAATTTATATAAATTTTATTTGAATAATTTTTTCAAATATATTATTCTAATCATTAAATCTAGAATAAAAGTTTTTTTGTTCTTATTTAATTTTGTGGTAAAATTATAGTTTTTTCCACAAACATTATACCTTAAGGTAACATAGTCACAGTAACTTCTCACATCACTGTAGCTTATATATTCAAAATATTAACTAACATAGTTTAAACCATGCTTATCCCTAGATAAAATAATACAAAATAAATCATTAATGAGAATTTTACTTTTCATTTATGGAAAATATATGTTTAAGGTGGTGAACTTTTAGTCAAAACTAATTAATATTTATAATTAATGTATTTAGATTATATTTTTTATAAATAAAATATTTGTCATATTTAATTACAAATGACATCAACATTACATTAACATAATAAATGAAAAGTTGACTTAAAAGTATTATTATTTTGAGAAATGAATGTCTTACAAAATAAGCTAGGCCTAGAAAATATATAAGAAAACATGTTGTTATTTTGTCGAATTAAAGAAAAAAAAACTCATTCTGAACGATGGTGATGGAAGGAGAGTTTGATCAAGATCATGAGTTTCCAACACGTGTATCTCACTATTTCTCTCATATTCTCAAACATCAAAATTAGGTCACAGAGGGGAGAAAAAGAAAATGATAAAAACGTTTCTTTTGTCTGAGGGGATAAGATACACCGCAAAAAACAATAAAATTCAAACTTTTTAAGGTCTTCGGAATCTCACAACTGTCACCAGTGTTTGTCTCATTCGAAACATGCCCTAGATCTGATCGAGCAATGAGCTGAAAACATTTTGATCATCTGGGTATCCTGGTAAGCTATTGTGCTAGATTCTGTCATGGGTTTCTTCTTCATTGTTGAAAAGTTTATTTCAATGATTTTAGTTTCTGAGAACTTCCGGGGAAGTTTAAACATCTTCTCATTGTCAGGTTTTGGGAATTAAACATAGTTTAATGCAAACTCTGTGGCTCTTATCGCCATTGGTTCTTCTGTTTTGTGAAGTTCAAGAATGATGCAAACAAACACATGTGAAGTTGTTAGTTATTTTTTGTTTCTTCTTGTGTCTGCCCATCAAGTAAACAGTTCTGATTTTTCTTTTCAGAGAGTGGAGGAGCTTGTCCTAGTTAAGATCTTGAGCTGTAATGCAGCTTTGACTTGCTGAGTTTGTTTCTGGGTTGGATTGTTTTTGCTTGAAATTGTCTCGTTTCCACATTTGAACCTGTGCAATGGTTTTCTGGGAAGGATATGTGAGCGATGAATTGATGGGCACATTTGCCCCTATCGTGGTTTATTGGGTATATGCTGGATTTTATCACTTGCTCCCCTTTAGACAAGTATCGGTTGCATACTAGGAAAGACGAGGAAAAGAAGAATTTGGTTCCTTTTCAACAGTTGTGAAGGGTGTTTTGCTTCAGCAGCTTGTTCAGGCAATTGTTGCTCTCTTCTTGGTCAGTTCATCTACATTTTAGTTAATTCCTACGATAAAATTTGTAGTAAACATAGTTTTTTAGTTGAAAAAACTATTCAAGTATGAGCAGTTGCTTGCTGATGCTATTCTTCAAATTTGTTGGTAGTAGCATTTTTAAAATTAGTCTGTTTTTCCATTTTCTAGTTTCTGATTCGGTTGATTATCCAATGTGTCTCTATATGTGATCTACCAAATTGCATGGTGTGGCATATTCATGGAGTGATCTAACCAATTGCTTGATATGTGAATAGCCTGAATTTATAATCCACTTTTCTAGCCCTGACAAAAGAAGAGAAATATTTAAAAGGAAGTAAGTGAAATCAACATTTGGAGACAGTATAAGAACACCACCCCCAAAGCCTTATCCCTCTAGACAACTTTCTTTAGTTTCTTCTTGATCTCCCTGCCATCCTCTTCATAGGACTAAAAGCTACAATCTATTATTTTCACCGTGCCTCTCATGGCATTTTAATATATGTCGAAACCATCTTAATCCATTTTCTGTTATCCTTTCTTCAATTGGCGCCAAATATATCTCTTCTCATACACATTCATTTTGTATCCTGTCTTTTCTTGTGTTACAAATCCATCTTAAATTATCAGCGTTATGCTTGAGTTTTATGGGAAAAGAAGTGTCTTCTTTTATTATCTGAAATGACACTAACAAATTCACACAATCTGTTGCCCTATGACTTCCCTTTCACCTTGTCATATTAACAGTAGAAGAATCATTATTTAAGAGCTATTTCATGCAAGTTAATATGTTTAATCTGTATAATAAATTTTAATGGACCCTGAGATTTGCTCTAGCCATAATTCTGACTAATTTGTGTTCTGTTCAAACATATTAAAGTATTTATCTTTTTTGTGAATCTTTATTCAAGTTTCACCGCCTAGTAGGATAGAGGTTGTTGTTGTTGTAGTGGATCTTGTTTAGTCAGTTGAGCAGATCGTATATCATTTTCATCTGGTTATTTATTTATTTCTCTAGGCTTTCCTGTTTGCAATATAATGAAGCTACCGTGTTATTAGCCTGGCCTCTATATACTCGAAGAGGTTCAAGTTAAGGAATTAAAGTATAGAATAGAAGCCATTATATTGCTAGAGCTTGGCTATTGCTTCTTAAATGATGTCTTATGTGTGCTAAATAGTTAAACAAACTCTTTGAAGTTTCTAGATGCCTCTTATAGCGGACCTATCATAATAAATGCCCGAGGGAGAGAAATTGCTTACACTGTTAGAAATCCAATAATTTTCTGTTGACATTCTTAACTGTTTCTGATAGTGACTGATAATGATATGCTTGCTGGAACTTTGCAGTTGACCACAACGACAAAAGCATCTGGGGTTGTAGAGCAACCTTCTATCGCCAAGCAAATCTTGCAGTTCCTTATTGCGATGTTTGTCATGGACACATGGCAGTACTTTGTCCATCGGTACATGCATCAGAACAAGTTTTTATATCGCCATGTCCACTCTCAGCATCACAGACTGGTTGTTCCGTATGCAATAGGAGCCCTTTACAGTCACCCCATTGAGGGTCTTCTACTTGACACTATAGGTGGTGCCATCTCATTTCTTGTCTCAGGGATGACTGCAAGAACAGCAGTTATGTTCTTCTGATTCTCTGTGGTGAAAACTGTTGATGATCACTGTGGACTAAGGTTGCCTGGCAACATCTTCCATTTGTTTTTCCAGAACAACACAGTTTACCATGACATCCATCATCAACTGCAAGGGCTGAAGTACAATTATTCTCAGCCATTCTTTTCCATATGGGACAACTTATTGGGACATACATGCCTTTCAATCTTGTAAAGAGGCCTGGAGGGGGGTTGAGGCAAGGCTAGCAAAGGAATAGTCACAATGTAATTGTTGAAACTCACATCTGAAGGTGTAATTGTTGCTTAGGACCAGACCAGAGGCTTTACTATAGGCATTTCTCAAGTTGATTCGAGCGTTTTTCAGTTCATCTTGTTACTGTAGGTTTGTGTAGCATAACTATGATGATGTGATTTAGGAGTTTTTTTATTATCATATTGTTGGTGGGAAAAATCGATATATGAATCGAAAAGTAGGTAGAAAAGGGAAAATCGATATATGAATAGAAAAGTGAATAAATCGAGATATAGATTAGAAAGTAGATAAATCGATATATGAATCGAAAGAGGATAGAGGAAAATTGATGAACATGATTGGGAATAAAAAGTCAATAATAAGCATCGAGTGTTAAGTTAAGTTTGAGGGAAGTCGAGGCGGTTCAATTATTCGATGTCCGGAGTTGAAATCGAGGGAAACAATTATCTTGCACATGGGAACATGGGGTAGTGGTTTCTAAACCGTTCTTAGGTGGTCGAAGCAGGTTCAAAGTACTCGATGCCGGGGTCGAAATCGAGGGGAGCGGTTATCTCGCGCATGGGAACATGGGTAGCGGTTTCTAAACCGTTCTTAGGTGGTTATATTGATGGTTATGTTGAAGAAGGTTATAAATAGAACAAACGTGAAGAAGGTAGGGGATTTTCAGAGGTATCATAAATCTATTGTACAAGTCTACTGGAGAATGACGATCATGAAATTTCTGGCAATCTGAATTTCCACATTTATCGACTTTTGTTACCGCTTTTTTTTACTTTCCCTGATAATTTATTTATATGCAATTTAAATTTACCTTTCTGTACTTTTCAGTTATTTCAATTCCTTGATAATTTACTCTTGTACAATTTAAAATTATGCATTACTTTTTGTCTCGATATCTTTTACCGTTTTCTTTACTTTACCTGATAATTTATTTACATGCAATTTAAGTTTGTGTTCTTCGTTCCTTCATTTATCTTTATTTAGTTGCTTTACATGGATTTGCATGTCTCTTATTTTACATAGCCTTTCATGTTATATCGTTTACACTTAATTTTATTTCTGTCGATTTTCATGTTCTCAAGTCTCAATAAAAAAATACAAAAAAAGAACTTTCGTTTTTAAATTAAGGAATATAGTTTATTTATCCATTGTTGTTGAACAACCTTTCTTTCGATTGAATATAACTGTTTATTTGAGTAGCGTTGATGTCTGTATGCTTTTAAATACGTTTTCTGTGTTTCGCACTTAAATTTATCGTTTCATACGTTTTGATTGAAAAACTTTATTTGCTAGCCTAAATAAAAAGAACTTATGGTGGTTGGAATTTGGTTAGAACTTAGTCTTTGGGAAATTGAAACAAAATCAAAATTTTCACGAGAAACAAATTGGCGCGCCAGGTAGAGGCGTTGTGTTAAACACACAAAATTTGGCTAGTTCAAAAAGTGTATGAGATTAAGGAGTAGACGAATAGTAAGAATGAATCAAAATCCACCAAATAATCAGAGTAACAGTGATGTTCCTAATAGTCCAAATCCACCAAACACTGGGGGGCAAGTTCATAATGGAACTATGTCTGTAATATCGTCAAATGTGAATGCATCGATTCCAGTGAATCATGAACAAAGCCAAGGGACGTTAGCAAATACTCAATTAATAGGGTCTAGGACTATAATGACAAATAATATGCACACTACGGGAAGCCCCGTAACAACATTTGCAGGTCTATATATGAGTGTAAGACTGTCTGGATTTACTTTTAATAATATGAATGAGGTTGATACTTCAGTACAACGAAATATGAGACCTAACCTAGGAATGCCCCAAAACCTAGGAACATTTCAAACCTTAGGAATGCCTCAAAATTTTGGAATATCCCTGAATTTAGGTATATCCCAAAATTTAGTAACACCTCAGAATCCAGGAAATACGCAAAGTTTAGGGATACGATAGATGTCTCCAATTCCAAACCAGGATAACGAGCAAATTTGAATCATGAGAGATATGCATTCGATAGAGATTATCATTGATCTAATTTCGATGTTATTGAAAATGCTAGTACTTGAAATTTTCAGTAATTCATTGGGGGTGTTTCGACAACAAATGGATGAAAGTAATTTGGAGATGGTCAATGTGTTGTCACAACGAGTTGACTACAGTATTAAACCCATTAATTCAAAACATTACTAGTAGTTTTGAGATATTAGCAGATCTAATGACACGTATCGGGGATGCATTGACAATACCTCAACAAACGAGGGTTGAGAATAATACTAATCAAGATAATAACCAAAATATCAATATTAATCCCCCTTATTTATTAAGGAGAAATTGAAATGCTAATCAATATCTGCATATGAGGAATGATGCTCACGAAAATTTAAATGGTGGGTTTCAAAATGTGTATAATCAGAATAACATGCAGTACAATCATTTGTTGGGCCAAATGATGAATCCCCAAGGAGTGGAATTAAGACCACTTAACCAACCATATTTTGTTTCTCCTTTTCCAAATACGATTCTTGAGACGGAATTACCTCGAGAATATAAAGTACCTAAGTTCACAAAATTTACCGGAGAAATCGGTAAATCCACTATAGAGCATGTGACACGATATCAAATCGAATGTGGAGATATAACTATGAATGAGAAATTAAAAATGAAATACTTTCCTAGTTCATTAACAAAGAATGCCTTCACTTGGTTTACCACTTTGCCACCTAACTCGATATATAATTGACTGCAGTTGGAAAGGAATTTTCATGAGCAATTTTTTAGGGGAGAAACTCAAGTAAGTCTCATCGACTTAATGAATATAAAAAGGTATAATCATGAGAGTATAGATGATTATTTGAATAGATTTAGATAAATGAAATCAAGATGTTTCACTCAGATTCCCGAATTTGAATTAGTTAGGATAATTGCTGTTGGGTTAGAATTTTCGATTAGGAAAAAGTTGGTTAATTTACCTTTGAGTGACATGGCTCAATTAACCGATAAAGTAAGAAGAGTGGAACAAATCGAGTATGAGAAGGAAAGATATAAGAAATTTGAGAAACCTATAAAGAAAGATAGGGTAACATACATAAATGAAATATATGAAGAGAATCCTAAGATAGAGGTAGAAAATGAAGATTTTATTGATGAGAAAGTAAACATAGCAGAGCTCAAAGTGGGAGCTCCTTATATTTGTAAATTGTTACATAAAAACGAGGCAAAAGACAAAATGACAAATCGAACATATACTTTCGATGTAATAAAAGCAGATAAAATCTTTGATATTTTATTGAAAGATAAACAGATTAAATTGAGTGATGATCATAAATTACCTTCTTTAGATCAAAGAAATGGTCAAAAATATTGCAAATTTCATAATATTTATGGGCATTGGACTAATAATTGTATACATTTCAGGAACACAATTCAAGATGCAATCGACCAAGGAAGGTTAAAATTTGAGGAGAAGTCGATGCAAGTGGATACTAGTCCATTTGAAGTTCAGGTGAGATATGTTGAGTCTCAGTCAGGCATTACTGAAGATGCCCGATTGGTAAATTCAACCTTTATAGGTATGGTCGATATTACTAAAGACGTTAATCCTAGACATGTCAAAACAGACATATTAAAGGAAGATATAGAGTTTGATTTAAATGAGTTTGAGAAAAAATTTGTCGACGGTAAGGATGATAATAGGGTTGGACAACATATTGGAGTGATATCAATACTACCTGCAAAGTATGTTAATCAGTATGAAGAATTTCAGGAACGAAATGATGTTTATCGAGAGGATGATTTCTTTTCTGAGGAAATGAGACCAAAAATGACGTGGGTGACGCAAGTGTCATGTAAATCTCCTTATAGAGACGCTGCTTTTATCGATCCTCCATCAGAGGAAATGAGGTTTCACTTGAAATCCCTGATGTTGAATATTGAGATACAAGGACAGAGGGTGAATAAAGTCCTTGTGGATGGTGGTGCGGCGGTAAACATACTTCCAATCTCTATGTTAAAGGTTCGGTGTCGATTTGAAAGATTTAATCAAGCATAATATCTTGATTTCTGACTTCAGTGGGAAATCATCGAGTTCAGAAGACATGATTGCCTTAGATGTGAAAGTGGGTACTTATTCGAGGCCTACTATTTTTGTGGTAGTCCAATCTCATGCAAATTTCAATGCATTACTGGGCAGAGAATGGATCCATGGAGTTGGAGCAGTGCCCTCTACTACTCATCATAAGTTATTTATGTGGAATCGAGATGGACATCTCGAAGTGATTCAAGGAGACCAACACGAGTTCGTAACATTCGTGTTTCAGGCTGGTCGGTCTCTCCAAAATTTGGCGCTCACTCAGCCATTTACCTTCGAGACTATCAAGGATTTTAATTCAAAAATGTACGAGGAATGATTCCTGGAAATGAATGTAAAAAAAGGGTTTGTACTGAAGAGTGAGGGGGCCAGCCTCGAAGTGGCCAATGAAAATGCATGAAGGTTATGAGGAGTTCTTGGCTCGATTAGAAGGATATGAAAACGAGAGATGAAAGAGCCAAGAAAGTAATAATAATAAGGTAGGAATAAATAAGTCGATATATTCGACAAATGTAGATGATAATGATCAAGTTAGACTTGATTGTATTTATGATTATTCGCCTTTAGGTTTTGAAAAATCTGTCATGACTAGTCACAAAAAGGTGGAGACCCAAGATCCATTAGAAGAAATTAACTTGGGAGATACAGAGAAAAGAAAACTTACTTATATTAGTAGGTATCTCGAAAAAGAAATGAAAAAGGATATGATTCTATTACTGGAAGAATATAAAGACTACTTTTCTTGAGATTATGAAGAAATGCCTAGATTGGATCGAAGTCTAGTCGAGCATAGATTACCTATTATAGAAGGCAAGAAGCCGGTAAAACAAGCTCTAAGATTTGCACCCGAGGTGATGGGTAAGATTAAATAAGAAATCGAGAGACTTCTTAGCGCGAAATTTATCGGAACTACCGGGTATGTGGATTGGATTTTCAATATTGTTCCAGATTATTAAAAAAAATGGTAAAATGAGAGTATGCATTGATTATTGAGATTTAAATTTAGCAACTACTAAAGACGAATATCTTATGCCGATAGGCTGATATGTTAATAGATGCGGTAGTCGGTAATGAAATTTTGAGTCTTTTAGATGGATATTCGAGGATATAATCAAATTTTTGCTGCCCAAAA